CAACCGCTTTTGTTCATTTCTTTAGGGTAGTGAATAAACCAAGTATAGTGAGGTAAAGCAGGAATGTTGATAGCACTAGTTTACAACTTCCTAGAACTAATAACTCAATTCCAATATTTTGAGATCAGAAGGCATCCTGACTGGAAGGAAAGAAATCTAAGAGCCTCTTGTGAACATATCCAGATGAGTCTCATTTATAATTAATGTCTTGATATTTGAAGTGACTTCCACAGATGTATTTATGAAACAAAAATCGATTAAAATAAAATAACAACCGAGAAAATCATTTTGCAATCTGGTTTGATGATGAAACAGATGGAAAAAAATAAATAAATAAAAGTAGCATTGAATAGACTAAACCAAATGCATAGTCACTTTACCCTTGATTTAAATGGATAGAGTCCGCACTGATTGAATAGATCTTTATAGTATGTATCAGATCTTGTGATGCTTCGATCTTCTTTATCTAATATGAATCCTGCAACAAGATACAATACGTGAGTTTTGATATGTTCATTTTAATTTTCAGCTAGAATGGTCCCACTGGAAAGGTCGATGAGGCAGACATGCTCTTTAAATACATAAGGTTTTTCTTTTTCTGGAAAGAAACAGAAAATTCATTGAGAACAGAACAATGAAAATCATTTTCATTGAATGCAGATATCAGATATTGAAATTGAGATAATATATCTTTGTAACTAGACAGCATAATATTCATAACAAAAAGAACTGAAAATGGCAGGTACCAGATCTTGCAATATTTTCCTTCAGAACGAAAATTCCGCCAGCCTTTAGGCCCAACTGAAAGTAAAGAGCCAAAATAGGTCATAAGTCTACCTGATGACAGCATTCATAGCATTCTTAATTCTTAAGAGTTAAATCCAGTTATCAATTTTTTTTTAATAAGAGTAATCAGAAACATGAAACTTTTGATTAATTGCAAGGTGTTTCAGAGACATGAGAAATTGATTAATTGTAAGATGATGCTATCAGAAACATGAACGACTATCGATGTGAAAGGAAAACTGAAACAGTAAGAGAAAAAAAAAAGAACCACAATAATTCATGTTCAGAAACGACCTTATCATTTACAAGAAGCACCATAAGACTCACTTAGAATGATTTTCAAGCCAAGACCAAAAATATAATGATCATTTCATCTTTTTGTGTTACGAGGTGTCTAAGTTTGTTTTTTCAGGAAATCAGTTCAAAGCCATTCTTGGGAAGTTTGAACAAAAGGAAAAAGTATACTTGAACAAAAAAAAAGGCAAGAGATCCAGAGGAGGTTTGAAAACTACAGATGCCAGTTTGCACCTTTTTTTTCCTTTTGCAATAATGATGATTTTCTCGTCCACGCCAACTCAAAGTCCTTTTTGTAAACAAACCTTAACCTAGGTGGATATATCTTGTCTATCCTTGTGTTTCCCACTTTCTTGTGAGAAACGACTTCCTTTGTTGATTATCGATACAATATTAAGGATTTCTATGTTCAGTATAAATGATCAAAAAGGTATTTCCCTTTGATATTAATTGAAATATTGAAATTTTCATGCATAAAGTTATTTGGGATCTTTCTTAAACTATATATATATATATATATATTAGTAACATGTTAGACATGACACAGACGGAGTTTAGATGAGTATTTAGCCTTGATTACAGAATTTTAAGTTTGAGTCCGAATAGAGCCTTCAAGCTTCCATTAACAGTAAATTTTGTCGCCAGTATGTCTATTGACATTTTCACATCTTAGTCTCTAATGTGAACATTATATTGACATTTTAGTAACTAATTCAAAATATATCATCCACATTAGAAGAACCACACAACAAATAAAGGTGGGGGAAAAAAAAAAGGTAAGAGCTAATGTCAGAAAAAAATTAGAAGATCTAAATATCTGAAGGGTTACTGACAGCTAGACCACTTTACAGCCAAAAGGCCCCAAGAAATGGTAAATAACTCAACTAACAAAATTCTTCAGAGCTTGATTCAAGAAAAAGAGAACAACTTACCTTGGCTCTTTTAAAGAACGAGATAAAGTCCTCATCAGTGAGATGTCCAATACACCACTGAACCCAAATAACATCATATCTTCCTGCATCTGGCGTGAATTCCTAACAGTCGAGAAAAATCTAGATGTTTTAAAAGAGCGATAACGGGTTGAGCCAGTTACAAAATCAAGAAACATCCAGCCAAATACATGAATGTCAAAGATAATTCAGACAGATGGGCATTTGGCATTCAAAGTTTACCGCTGAAGATCAAATATAAACAGACAGGAAAATGGAGAAGATCCAATGGCGCAGTAGCATCTACTACGATACTAATAGCAACTTATCACATAAAACTCCTCAATACAATGTCTTACCTACTGGACGTTGTACCTGTATTCTGTGACATCTACACATATTGAAAGTTGTTTTCCAGTTTTTTTACTTATTTATTTAATTTCAAGAAATACAGGGCGTGGGGATTAAACCTCCGACCTCAAGAGACAGAAGTACTGTCTAAGCCATCTAGCTATACCCATGTTTGCAATTGTTTTCCAGTTTCTTATAACTCGTTCCTTTTCAGTCGCATACTAGAGGATGGTGTGAGTTGGAGGAAAAAGTTTAAGAATAGGCTCTTTATACAAAAAGCAGAATTCCTTTCACATCCAAAAAGGTACATAGATTACCAAGTACCACCTAAAGCAGCAAAGAGAAGAGCTTCAGCATACAAAACCACAGAATATAACAAATTTGCTAATTTTGCATTTGTTGGATATCACTACATTACATACTACCTGTAGCGGCACGCAAAAGAAGTTAGTGGCTTTGTGCAGATCAGAGGCCCCATTATTTTCAGGAGCCAAGCTTTCACGGGCAGCCTCTAGGAAATGTGATACAGGTTCAAGAAGATCAACCTAAGGCTCAAAAAAGGATAAATAAATAAATAGACTTTTTGTAGGGGTAAGTTCGTATACTAGTAGACCAAAGAGATTATGAGTAAGAAAAGTACATGTTATAATATTTTTTTCAAATTGAATGCAACGCATTGATTTCAGAATCATGAAAATCTATATCAAAGCATAACATGATACATCAATCACCAGAAAACCATTTATTGAAGTCAAGGAAATGAAACAAATAGCTGAACCTCAATAATGGTATCCTGAGAGATGTACGAATCTTTCGAACTGTCTGATCAGATTGCACAATCCAAAAACCAAAGCAAGCACCATTTCATAAATTTTACTCGACAAATCCCAAGATAGACAGATAAAAGGCAAGAAAGTAATATGGCAGCAACAATAAAGTAACTTGTATTATCTTACCTCATTAAAATATCTGATAAGAAGATTCTTCGTGACTCTCCCAATGCCAGAACCACAATCTGCAATAGCAGGCAGCTCCGGCATTAGTAAAACTACGTGCTCAGGTATAGAGCATTAACGACAAAGTAGTACAGCTCATCATATGCACGAACTAAACAAACTCGAGTAGGAATAAAAGTAAAAGAAGACTAAATTGTAAGAAAAGAAGTAGAGCATGTACTGAAAGCAGGTCATAAACAAAAATCTGGAATTCAAAAAATTAAGAAGTGGGTATAAACAGACATACCAAGAGCGACAAGAGGGCGGTCTTTTCCAGCAAGAGGGAAACGTTCGGCCAAAATTGATTTGAGAAAGACTTCACTGCCCAAGATATCGCCGTCGCTAACATGGCCATAGCCACCCAAAACCCCATTCACCGATGCCTCTACAGCTTGCCAGTAGCCTACGCCTTCACGATACCACTGGGTGCGCTTAGTGGTATCTCCGACCTGCTCCATCCACATCTCCTTTGCATTCTTGAACTCGTTGCCGTCTGTATCAGCACCGCTACCCTCCATTAGCTACGGGTACGGGTACGGGTACGGGTACGGCTACTCCTTGATCCTGCTTCGATGCCCAAAGCGTTGCCGCGCCTGGTGTTCCAGCTCCCGACCGTCCCTTTTTATGAGAAGTGCTCTGGTTTTGTTCCCCTTGCTTGGGTTTGCAAATTGAGGATACAAATGCAACCGAGCGTCCCGAGTGTGGAAAGTGATTAGTCCTCTAGTGTAAAATTTTAGAATTTATGCAATATTTAAATAAGAGCCCAACCCAAACATGCCGGGAATGGGGTTTTGTGTTGTTGTGGCCCAATTGCGATGATCTCTTCCTCCACCAATAATGCAATGCACCGTACAGAAACCCCAAACTCCCCCAACCTCATTTTCCACCATTATGAATTAGGGCAGATGGGGTCCCTCCCATCTTATTTTTTTGCTTTCATGGGAAAAGTAATTAATTAGTTAGGAAGTCAAAATTAGGGGTTTTCCCATACATTTGTGTGTGATTAATTAATCACAAAGTTGGTCAACTAAGCAATTAAGCAAACACTGATTACCCACTTTTAAACCATTTTAATACCGAAGTTAAGATGGAAAGTGGATTTAATTATAGATAGCATGCATATCTAGTGGTGGCTCACCCAACTCAATGGAGCCCATAATGCCTCCAAATCCCATCGATCAGCAAACCAAAAAATATATAATAATATTGTTTGTATGCCTCCTTAGCCTTTGAAGTGAGTTTGATCGCTGTTCACCAAGTCCGATGGATTTGACTAATGTTGGAAAACCCTATTTCCATTTCTGACGCGTTGTTCGAGGGGTTTAATGATTCATATTATGATGCAGGCCCAAGGGGAAGTCCAAGGAATATATATACATAGACCACAAGCCGGAGGAACACTCTTTTCCAGGTGCATCTGATAAGAAAACTCAATAGGCAACCAAAGACGGGAAAACAAAGAGGTGGGGGCGGGGCAGGCGAGGGATGATAGAAGGGATTGAATGATTTGATCCCCACTTCAAAACATGTTCATCATTATTTTCACTCACCTTTCCAATCACGTACTTCTTTTCACTGTTCAATCCCTTCTGTTCCTCGACTTTCTGTCCCATCTCCTCCTCATACACCAATATTCCAATAACACTAGCACTAACACTCGTCTGCTTCATTCAAATTTATTCTTCAATCCAATATCCAAACCTATATACTTTTGTTTCTTTTCCTTTTCTTTGGCACTGTAGAAATGTACCCAGATACCTATAATTTACTTGGAGGAAACAAAAAAAGGAATTTGTGAATTGAGGATCTTCATGGAAGTTGTGAATTGTTGTTGTTTTGAGGTGGTGGCCAATCAAAGGGAGGATTGAATGCAACGACGTCGTCTAACCCACCGCCCCCTTTGCATTGCTCTGATTTGTGGGGTTGAGTGAAGAAGAGGGTTAAAGAGTGGGTGTCTAATTCTTCCAAATCTGCAAAAAAATCATCACTTTGATTGTTGTTGGTGGTATTGCTTCCCATTGCAGGCACCCTATATTGAAACCCTTCGCTCAATTCATGATGCTCTTCTGTTTCAAACTGTTTCTCAATCTCCTCAACAACTTCTTCCTTAACCTTGTTATTTGATGATGATGGCGATGATCTTGTTGCTTCATTCTTGGTTTGATCTTCCTTGTGATCTTGAATTGTTGTTGTTGTTGTTGTTGGGTTTTGAGGCGTAGCGGGAGAGGGCTTTGAAGAAGAATTGTGTTTGGAGTGTTGGGACCTTGACGAGCCTGCTAGAGCGTTTCTCTGAGTTGGCCATGGATGGTTGTGCTCGGATGTGTAAGTAATCACCAGCATGTTGGGATCTGTTCTACTTCTCTCCACTTGCTTTCTGGCTGAACAACCCTTTGAGCTGCTGCATCTGTAGTACCCCCTGAATAAATGCATGCTTCTAAATTATGTACATAATCCTACAACATTGATTATGATTAGAGCTGAGACTACAATCAGTACGTCTCACTTAACCTTGTGTATCGTCGTCAACCTTACCATTTTAAAATACATCTACTATAGAGAGGGTCTAACCCTACTCTAACTAGTACCTTGCACCGTCTATTGACTGACTCTAATACCATTTGGAACCAAGTCACCGCTAACACGTTTTGTTCTCTTTGGACTTTCTATCCTAGGCTTCTACTCAAGATTTTAACACCGTTATAAGAAATATTCCGTTTACCTCTCCAACGAAAATGAAACCGACGAGGGAAGTGAGTGAGCATTAAAATGCAGAAGAGAAAGACGATGTAATGATAGAATTTGATGTATATGGTGAGGAAGCAAATTAGAGGAAGGTTTGAGATTGATAAAGATGATGAAGGGTTAAAAGAAAAAGATACCTAGGATAGGGAGAGCCTTTAATGGGTTTCTGACCATATTTCCTCCAAGCCCACAGATCAGAAGGAATAACTTCCCCATTTGGCCTGCTGCAGCTGCTGCTGCCGCTGCCGCCACCCACTGGAGCAGGAACACACACCACCTTCCTTGCTTGCCTCTTCCTAAACACCAACACACATACAGCCCATTCAAGACATTATATATTCTCAACCCTTTTTCTGGGGATTAAAAAAACCCTACTTTTACCATGGCTTGGTAGGAGAAGAGATGTGAAGGGGAGAAGGAATTAGGAAATTAGAAGGGGAAGAAGTAAGTGTTGGTGTCGGTGGAGAGATGTGAAGCATGCGTGAGAATACGTTGGAGGGTGTTTTGATAAGCTCATCATCTTCATCCACACCAAACACACTTCCTCTGTCCTCAACAAGTGGATCTCTGATGGCTGCACCACAAAAGGGATCCCCGAAACTGAATTCATCCTCTTCTTCTTCTTCTTCTTCTTCTTCTTCCAACACTTTAGATGAAAATTTCCAAGATTGTTCTGATGGGCAAAAGGGTTGGTGGTCAACGTCTTCTGATTTGCATCCATAACAACTACAACTACTTCTTCCTCCTCCTCTCACAATATCACTCAAATCGCCTTCGAAATTCTCCATCCAAAGCCACCTACACAGCAAACAGAAAACCCTTCATTTTTTTTGTCTTGTATGAGTAGGAATCGGCTAAGGAGAGGAGCTGGGGGTCGTGAATTTGGTCATTGCGGAAGCATCAAATCAAAAGGCTCCCACAAAACTGGCTTTAAACCCCACATTTGGCCTTGTTTGCATTGATGATTAAAATAGTCTACACATTAAATATAATAATTGAAGTGGAAAGTAGGGGGCCATTACATTAAATTAAAACCATATAATAAAATAAATATATATCTTCTTCATTCTGTGCAACTGCTTTAATTAGGATGTGATAGTGTATGATCTTCCATACAATTATTTTTCGTGACCCATTTTGTCTTGCTACCCACGCTAACCCTCAAAAGTTTGGTGTTAAAGTTATACAAGGCATTGGGTTGACCATGTTGGGATGAAGACTATATGTGAGATCCTACGTTGATTGGAAAAAGGATCGAAACATTTCTTATAAAAGTGTAGACGCGTTTTAAAACCTTGAGGGGAAGCCTGGGAAGGAAGAGCAATAAATATATAGAATATTGTTCAGCATCACTGACTTTATAGGGATTGATGTAAACAGATGTTTCATTGACAAACCTCTAATTCCTTTTATGTTCTCTTTACTTTTGACTTTCGCTCGTTTATTAAACTTTCTTAAACATTTTGTCTTCTATTTGTTGTAAGTGTTCGCAAAGTTGTAAGACTCTAACTTATCCTTTTTAACTTTTATTTTCTTGTACTCACTTTTCCTTTTTTATCTTCTCTATCACATGTCAAAAGACGAAACTTTTGACTCAACTTTAAGACATTATCAATTCTTGGACATCAAAAAAAGATCTTAGTACCAAGTGTTGTCGACCATTCCGGAATGTTCTAATTAGGAAGTAATTAAAAGTTAACAAATTTGATCCTTGATTGTTTCTAAATTTCACTTGATCAAAACAAGTCATGCCATGTTTTAAAAATATACATGAAATGAAATTGGAATTTGAATTAGTCCTTAAATCCTTATACACTATAACCACATTGAAGTTTTGATGCTATAATTCAGCAACATACTACACTACATTCCAATACCACAACTTAGAAATGACTTGAATCACTCCTCTCAAACACATCAGTGATGGAGGAAAATGCAGATTTCTTGAGCTGAATCAACTTAAATTCTGCTGGATTCTGGCTGTGAGTAGCAGAAGACTCCTGGCCATCTAATAACATTTGGAAACCTTTTTCCGCCGTAGGGGTTGGGAAAAAAATCCTAACTTTCTGTAAACTTCGAACTCACAAGAAGGCTAACTAGCCGGGTGAGAATCTATCGTTGTCAATAAAGATTGCAGAATCTACAACATTTTATACAATATCACACTTCTCCGTTCCCCTTCCTCCTGTAGTATAAAACGTATACCACCTCCCATTTGAGCTAAGCTAAGAGGCAAGTTGTGACTTGACCTTTCATTTCCCCCATCGCTTCTGCTGCTGTTGCAGTGATCCAGTTGAACGAGGTGATGGATCGGGGCTTTCCGAGACTTCGAGATGGGTTGGCAAATGATTAGGAAAACTTCTTTGAACAGGCTGCTCTGAAGAATCTTCTGTGGCTAAGAAAGGGGGGAGAGAGTCAAACAGAGAGGGCAGAAGGTAAGAATATGTTACGGAACCGAACAATGTGAATCAAAAAATTTGTGAATGTGTACCAAATAGAGTTGTAACAGATGGTCTCTTGGTCTTGTTAAGCTTTTTCCTCGTCTCAGCTGCAAGTAGAGATTGAAGCAACTATAATTCGTGTATTTTAAGAAACTGGTGGAATACGGTTCATGTGAAACATACTAACAGAACCATACATATCATAATGCTAGAACGAAACTACTTGGACTTGAATATTAACCGTATTGATATACTACTAACTGGGACTGCCCCATGTTCATTTGGAACTGAGTTGTTAGATTGAATGAAAGTAAGTAGATACATACTAATGCCAGACAAGTGGTGTTCGTTGACAATTTCAAAATTCTTGTACGTATAGCCAACAAAGTTTACATCCTTGGGTGAAAGCTTCTGCTGAACAACAAAAGCTTGTGTCAGTCGCTACAGAAAAAAAAAATAATAATAATAGGAGAAGGAACAGGGATGGTAAGATGCATATAGCCACAGTTCAAGAATAAACAATATAAATATTCTAGAGCAAGCTTTAAAATGAAAACCAACAAAATTTAGCATGAAAATCTGTGTCCTTGCATTGAAAATTTTGAGATTCTGTACCACTCAAGCACTTGTCAGGTTAACCAATCATATGGCATTTAAAATTAATGGTTGTTTGGACATGTTTTTACTTATTTGTAACAGTTTTGTATATAACGTTTTACAAAGATGTCCTTAAAAACATTCTACCAATCTTAGCAGAAGTGTTTTTTTGTTGCTATTAGGGATGCTTCAAAGTTCTAGTCCCATCAGCTACATTAAGTTTGTAGATAGATCATGGAAGAAAATATAAGTCATAACTCGCAATCTACCAGTAAACTATCAATGTCAAGTCTGAAATCTACAGAACTGTTGATAAAAATATTGATGTCAACAAAATTTCAAATAAAATTACGAGGATAACGTTCCATCAATCCTATGACATTCCAAATAATAGTAATAATAATAATATTGTCTGCCTCATGTCAATGACAAACTTTTTGATTCACAAAGATATCTGTGGAAGTATTAACATGTCAATGGAAACACAATTCCATCCTGGTAAACCTCATCAGATAAATTCCGAGCATCTTTTAAAATCAGTGATGATTGAAAAAAAAGAAAAAAAAAAAACTAGAGACATGCCAACTTAAGAGATTAAATATCTTAAGATTTTCTCACTTTCCAACACATTGAAAGAACAACTGTCAGCAAACATACCGGATCACTTATGTGTAGCTGAATGGAAGATTTAAAGGCTTCCCAGAACAAAGGAAAAATAAAAACAGACTTGCCTTTCTCAAAGGACCCGACTTTGATGGAGTATGACCTGGCACACCCAGCTGCATAACACAAAAATTCACTATAACAGCTGTTTTGATATCAATTCTTTTACTATCGTAACAAATTAATGCGATCCTCATTCAGATAGCAAAGTAACCAATAACTGGCCACTATACGGAAAATGATAATATACCTCTTCATACTTCTCAAAATTTCGAGTGTCTAACTCATCATGGATCTCTGGGATGATAACAGCTTCCATTTGATATAATTTATCCCATTGTATCCCTTTAAACCATGGATGCGCCTAACAAGGAGCATTCGTTGAGCCATATAATCAATTTAATAAATGGATTGAAAAGGATAAAGGAACTTATATGCTAACCTTAATTTCTATAGCTCCTTTGGTTCCAATCCTTTGCTCAACATTGCATAAAAGTTTGCAAATAAGATCTTTGGCCTCAATGGAAAGTTTTGCTTCTTTTGGGAATCTCAAATGAGTTCTCCAGTTAATGATCTGCACAACATACATTTACCATTTGTTTGATGATCATACTTAAAATCAGAAGTTAGCAGTACCATCATTCGTTTCATAGGCCAAAATATGTAACCTTGAAGATCTAATATTATGCCATAGAATTTTAAACATGTATTTTAACCATTTTCATTACCTAATCAAGAGAGCTAAGGAGAGGTCTATATGCCTACTGCCTATGTTCACAAAGTGTTGATTGCTCATACCTTTCTACAAGTAGACATTGGATCATCAGAATAGAAAGGTGGAAATCCCACGAGCATTTCGTACATAATTGCACCAAGGGACCACCTAAAAGAAACTTCTTATTACAATTTGATCAAGAACCATATTGAAATGATGTTAGACACAAGAAACAAGCATACCAGTCGCACTCAATTCCATATCCTTTCCTCAATAACACTTCTGGGGCAATATAGTCCGGCGTTCCAACAGCAGAATAAGCCTAAAACCAACACATTAATTAGAATGAAAATTATAATAAAATCACTAGGAAACTTATGTACACATACATATGAAGGGAGAAAGAGAATTTCGACAAAATATGCACACCTATATATACATAAGGATGTGAAATGGACACATTGATTTAAATTAAAAAGAAAAGGTTTATATCTTTTCTTCTATTAAAATTAACGAGAAAGTTGACAGGAAGCTAAAGCTGTTACTTATATTTTTCAACAATCATACGTCCATAGCCAACTAAGGGTACAGGATCTTGGGGTAAGATTGCCCCCACCTAAAAAGAAGTAAATATCAATTAAAATAATTTGAACAAGAGTTGGAATTTCATCTCTAGATTTACGACTAAATGGAAAGCTATGACGCCAAAATATCTGAATGATCAAAGAAAGAATGTCTGATAATTAAATTAAAAATAAATAAAGATGGAAGTAGGGCCCTGAATTTGAGTTGGAACTAAAAAATGCAATGTCAGGGACAAAAATTTCAACAGGCAATTTAGAATTCTCACCAGATGGTTGAATTATATATATTAAATTTCCATGCACCATATATCGGTCTGTTACTTAATCTTTATCTAACAAAGAAAAAGAACGAAAGAAGAGCAAAGAAGAAAATATAGTTGCTGTTCAGCAAGAAAAAATAAATCAACTCATGATCAATAAATTTTGATTGTGTTTCTCTTTGTCATTCTATTTATAAGACGTAGAAGCACTGTAACAAACAACTTTGAACATCTTCATGTCTGTAATAAAAAATCTATATCAAGGAAAATTCTGTCATATTCAAATGGAATGATACAAAAATCTGCAATAACCAGAAATGTAAGTCAGATGTTACACAGTTTGTTAATAAGAATTCTGGCCATGAACAAATAGTCAACGCCCAATTACGCTTCACAAGGATAAAATAATGGTAAATCTTGTCAAGCATTGTTTCTTGAATATTCCTTCATCCAACAAAATTTTGTTTTATAACATAGAATTAGAAATCTAACATTCAACTTCCCAACATATAAGGAAATGGAACTATGAGAGAGAGAGAGAGAGAGAGAGAGAGCACAAACCAATGTTCGTCTGTTCTTTTGCCAATGTAATAATTGCTCTTGTTGTGTTCGCTTTGGTACACTAATTTGACTATCAGAAGATCTGACATTCTGCCCCACTAT